TACTCAGAGAGTTACTAGGCTCCAAAGACATGATATCTTTGGCACAGGCCGTAAGTAATGGGACGATTTCGCACAAAGAGATGGTATCAAATGGTAAAGGATCTCTACTAGAGACCAATACAATTACATCCACCAGAAGAGTCTAGAACTCTAAAAGACACTACCAAAGAAGCCAATGAACTTCACAGAGTGTTGCAGCTCGGTTTCGGAACACGTCGTAATCATGGAGTGATCCTCAATACTACAATAGTTACTGTAACCTATTACCCAGAGAGCAACCAAGGGTTGCCGACCGAGGGATTAATTACCAATCTGGTGGAATAGCTTCCTGCGAGTTGATAGGAAGTCATCCAGAGAAAATCTATCGGTTGGGTATGGAGTTACAAAGGATCGGAGTCAGACAACCTACGATAGTTGTAATGACGTCCACCTTTGCAGAGATAGCCGTGGATAAAACTGATCATTTTATCAATGGCGAAGACAATTGGAGCCAACTCAGTTTGACTTAAGAACTAGGCCATAAGTCCAAAGACTCTGCTAATTGGGATATTACTATTGGAGACAGTATGTTTCCTAAGAAGAAATATTGTAATTACCAAAGAGGGTGTGATAGTTTTCAGGGTCCACAGGTGTTCACATCTTGGAAGAAAACTCGACATTGTGAATTATGATTAAAGAAGTACATAGTTGTATGATAAATAGATGTAGTCCGCGAACACTCAGATGCGGAATATAAATATCGAAGTGCCTCCCAAGCTTTAGACATCATCAAGCAACAGAGAAGAGACCTTAACACTATAATATTGTTTTTACGATTCTACCCTACTTTACCTAGTTTACTTCGCTCCTAGCAGTCATAAACGAAACGAGCCAAGTCCGAGCCTTCCTAGACAATCTCCGTCTACAAAAACGAATCTCGATTGGCATAGACAATCTTGAAGTCTATCAAGTTGTCTCCGCCTAACAGTTTCATCTACTAGTTGCATCTGCAAAGGTAGTCGTAATCACAACCATTTTTCAGGTCATCTGACCATAAACCTCCATAACTCCTTGCACAACTAATAGATATCTTCCAGAGAACTTCTTATTAATTTGCAAAAAGCTATTCCACTAGATTGACAAATATTCTCTCAGTCAGTAACTCTTGGTTACTCTGGGTAACAGGATTTCAATCACTGTTGTAGTATTCCAGATGGAAGTTATCCTCGTAACTACATCGTGTTCCGAAACCTAGTTGCAACACTCTGTGAAGTCTAATGGCTTCTATGGTAATATTCCTCTGAGTTCTGGACCCTTCCAGATATTGTAGAGTGGTTGTGAATGTATTGGTCTCTTGCTGAGATTCTTTACCATTCAATATCCTCTCTTTGTGCGAAAACGTCCAGTCACTTATGGCTCATAGTAACGCTATTGCATATTTGAAGCCTAGTAATGTTCTGAGTAGTTGACGGACTTACTTTATTCTACTTCTCAGACCTAGCCGAAGGTCCCCTCTCATATATCCCACGAATAGGATCCAGTTAGATGGACGGTGGCAATGTATACAGTGTTATTCTGACACCAACAGCTCTGTGGTATTATAGTCACAAGACGCAACTGAGATTGATATGTATAATGATATGCAGGTCCCATAAGAGGGCCAAAGGTGGGTGTTGGAGACCAGGGATTCCAATTCCAAGTAGGGTTACCCTACTTAGGGTGATTCCTAGATATTGGGTCTTGGTATTCCTAATAATAACTCTCAATGTTAAGTATTCTCAAAAGGTGCGAGCTCCTGGAGACCCTGCAAATCACCACACCCTCTTTGATAATTACAATATAATTAACTCAGAACCATACTATTCCCAATAGTAGTTATCCAATCTTTATAGTCTTTAGACTTGTAGCCTAGTTCTCAAGTTGAACTGAGTTGGCCCTAATTGTCTCCATTATTGATGAAATGATCAGTTTCATCTGCAGGTTGCATCTGCGAAGGTAGTCGTAATCACAACCATTTTTCAGATTGTCTGACCTTAAACCTCTATAACTCCTTACCCAACCAATAGATATCTTCCAGGAGACTTCCTACTAATTCGCAGAAAGCTATTCTACTGGATTGATAAATATTCTCTCAGTCGACAACCCTTAATTGCTCTGGGTAATGGGATTTCAATCACTATTGTAGTATTAGAAGTTATCCTCATAGCTACAACGTGTTCCGAAACCTAGTTGCAACACTCTGTGAAGTCCAATAGCTTTTATGGTAGTGTTCCTCAGAGTTCTAGACTCTTCCAGATATTGTAGACTGGATGTGAATGTATTAGACTCTTGCTGAGATCCTTTACCATTCAATACCATCTCTTTGTACAAAAACATCCTATCACTTACGGCCCATGCCAAAGGTATTACATCTTTGAAGCCTTGTAACATACTGAGTAATTGACAGATATACTCTGTTCCACTTCTCAGACCTAGCCAATGATCCCCTCTCATATACTCTGCGAACAGCATCTGGTCAGATGGACAGCGGCGACGTATACAGTATTATTTTGACACCTTCAATTCTGTGGTATTAGAGTCACAGGACGCAACTGAGATTAATATGTATGATGACGTGCAGGCCCGTTCAGGGGGCTGGAGGGGGGTGTTGGAGACCAGAGATTCTGATTCCGGGTAAGGTTATCCTACTTAGGGTGTCTCCTGGGTATTGGGTCCCTGTATTCCTAATATATTATTTAAATCAAACTAATCTGCTCCTATCAGGCTACCCGCACCAAGAAGAACGTCCCCAATTGTAACGATCCCTCCTTGGACAGTTAGTTATTGGCGACGGGGAACGATACTTCACTCTTCGGTCTTCTTCTTCCTTCGTCTTATGATAGCTCTAGGCCTCTGCCTACGTTACCGATAGTACAAGACCTTTGTCTTCTATCAGGAATGCCTATCGTAAGCTTTCTCTAACTCGTCTTCATGAAGAACCTTCTTGGCGTAATGATAACGTTGCAGTAAAGATAAAGATTATAAAGGTGTTTTATATTCGTTAAAGTAATAAGTAGGAAAAGTACTTAGAACAAAGCGTGAAGAACCTATCTTTCTCGACCGCATCGGCCTCCTTATATAGTATTCTTCCCGCCCGTAGTCATGTGACCTAAAGTGATCACATGTGCGAAACCAAATCATAACAAACTACTTATGTGACCAAAGTAGTCCCATGCTTAAAACCCATGACCTCATAGCGAGGTCATGTACAAAAACTCATAAACCAATCATAACACAATAAACAAGTCATATGACTCAACTGAGTCATATGCACGAAACCCATGGTCTCATAAGAAGGTCATATGTGAAACATAAATCATATGTGTAAGGCTTGCCCGCAAGGCACACTCGTAAGGCTTACTCGCCAGGCACACGTCCCATGACTCATATTTGAGCCATGTGCGAAAGCATCACAAATCCCACACATAACAAATCATATGACCCAAATGAGTCATATGTGTAAAACAATAACATACCTGTGACTCATAACCATGTGTCACGTGAAAGCCTCTTTCATGCCAAGCTACATTCGTGACACCAATGGGAATTTAAAGAGCAAAGTAAGGACCGTAGAGACAGATCTAAGAGTGGAATTGACTGGGTACTTTATCGGGTATTCTCCAACCGTTATACTACCCTTTTCTATAATGGATCGAATATGAAACTGGAAGAGAAGTTTGGGTGGTTGAAGATAATACTCCTTCTCACTCCACGGCCAAAGAGCTAGGAGCTGCTGAACGACAAAGTCTGGGACTGCACTTAGTGAACTGGCCAGCCCAATCACCTGATCTGAATAAGATCGAACCTCTATGGAACTATTTGAAGGACTCACTTGAGGAGTATGAATTTTCTGGGCAAAGTCAAAGTATGAAGGAGCAGGTAAAGAGAGCTTTACCTCTTGACTTAATAAATCGGCATTGTTTGGATCTTCGGAATAAGCTTGAACTTGTTATTAAAAATAAGGGTGATAATAATTTTCATGAATAATTTCCTGCTTTTTCTCTTCTTTGTTTCCTTTTTCCCTTGTGGTTCTTCTGTTCTGCATTTTCCGGTTTATTTTACTGTATTGATATTGTTTTGCTGAATATTTGAGTATCACACATGGTGTGGTGAATATGTGTCTGCGGTTGCAATGTGCTGCTTTTGCTTACCGGATTTCACTTGACGGATATATTCATCGGCCGTACTCGTACTCGTATTGTACGAGTATGGTATGGAAGGAGGCCGGCCCGGGGATATCGAGGATCACAACGTGAGAGTGGGCGAATCGCCACCGCAGGAGGGCCAGCAAAATTACGAAACAAGTGCCCTTATCGCAGGAAAAGTTCCCCGGCCTCGCTTAGCTGTTGGGAGCTTGTGCTTCAGTGCAGATGGGTTGGTTTAAACTGGGTCCTTCATAGAAACCCGGTGTTTAATTGGTATGATACCGTAGATGACAAGAACGAATCAGGAAATAAAAACAAATCACATAGAACTACTAGTCCCTCTGAGCCGAATAAACAAGTGGTTTATTATTATTATTATTATTTTGATTTTCAATCAGATACGGTACTGTAACTAGCCATCTGGTGGTAAATTTTTGGCTGATACTGAAACTAGTGCTCAGATATTCGCAAGGTGAGAAACTGGCAAAAAAATTTGACCCGGTATCATACTCGTACAGTAAGATAAGATTAATTTACCATCTCGCCAGATGCCCGTTACCGGTACTTTCAAACTCTAAGGCTTGGGTATGTTGCCACGAAACTATCCACCACCAATTCGGCGTTTCACGAAGTCTTAGTGTTGGGTTGCGAGGCCGGGTTTCTAGTAGCAGTGTTTTTCTGGTGGAGGATACGAGTAGTCTACGGTGGACACTGTAGTCGTAATATTGGTCACGAAGGACCCACCTTTAACCACATGGCACTTCACACCTCTTTCCCCGCCGTTTTCGGTAAAGGTGTCGTATCAGTGTATCACACCAGTGCCACTACAGTATTAATTTAGACTACACCCTCTCCATACCAACAACGGCAACAACGGCAAACCATCGCCGACTATCACCACCAGACTTATCATCGATCAATCGTCAATTTAGAAATGCCGGTACGTTACCCCCCTTCTTTCCTTCCGCAAAGTACGCATATCGTGGCCGAAGATAACTAACAAATCTAATAGGCCTACCACTCCGCCTTTCTCCAGGACACGGATGTCCGTGTCATCGGTGCCCACCTCCCTACCCCCCTTCCACCACCCCCTCCTCCTCCTTCACCCCCCTTCTAACCAATTTACTCACAGGTAACTTCACCCTCCTCCCCCTCCGCACCCGCACCCGCGGGCCAGCATACACTCTATCTCCGCTCCCGGCCAACATAACCAACGACCTGGACATCGACCCGGACGGCGAGCACTATGACATCCTAGACGAGACGATAACCCTCTTCCGCGCCAACACCCTCTTCCGCAACTTCGAGATCAAGGGCCCCGCCGACCGTGTCCTCATCTACGGCATCCTCTTCGTCTCGGATTGCCTGAGCAGGATCAAACCCAGTATGAGCTTGCGGGATTCCGAAAAGGCGCTGCAGACGGCCGCGCTGGACCACTTCGCACTCCCGGGCGATCCCGCGTTCCCGCTCAACGCTTTGTACCAGCCACCCAGGGACAGGATGGAGGCTGAGGCGCTTAGGGGATATATCAGCCAGATGAGGCAGGAACTGGTTATCAGGCTGTTGAACAGGGTATATGCGGACGGGAGTGGGAAGCCGAGTAAGGTATTGTTATATATATCCTCCCGCCCAACAACAGTAGCGAAAGAGTATACTGAAAGTGAGTTAATAGTGGTGGTTGAGCTTCACAAAGAGGCGTTTTATGGGAAAGAATCTGTGAATGCACAATACACGGTTGGGTGGGGTGATCAAGGACTTATTCATTTAGACGAATTGGGCGTGTGTGGGGCAGAATGCAGTATATCACTTAGTCAATCAGTGGGATACCCGTATCGTGCCGTGCACATGCCTATAGTACGCTGTCGGCCACCAAAAATCCCTTCAAAAGGACATTTCATTCAGATAGAAACGCCATCCCCGAGAAACAAAAAAGTTCTTCATGATCCTACTAGACTTTACTTGAAGGCACAACATTTATTCATCACTGTCCCAACGTGGATGTGGTATCAAACCATCGCCCTGTTTAATGAATAAGATAAAGAGAAGAAACTTTAGAAATAACAACCCAGACAGGGACAACAACCCAAAGGAAAACAGTAGCTCATTTTCGCTGGGTATTGTGTGATAATATACCAGCTTCCTCAGCCGTGGAACTCTAAGACCTCGGCTCAATCTTCGATGGTTCAATATTCCAAATCTCGTCGGCATATCTAAAAAAACGCCAGTTTCAGCCCTTAGTCCCCAGAAATTTCCGAGCCCAGAAGAAATCTTACTCATTGATAGCCCGATCCGCACTGAAGAATCCCATACGGGCGACACTTGTGATGGACTTGGTAGCCCAACCGTCTTGGTCTTTGTAGGCTTCGTCAACCAAGTCTTGGGTAGCGATATAGCTGGAAAAGTCATCGCTAACAAGGTAGTAATCGCAACCTGTAGTGAGGGCTGACATCAACCCAGAATATGTCTGTTCAGGGCCAAATCGTCCTGCCTCGATAGCATCACAAACTTCTCGAAGTTTGAGATCCATCACGACATCCTTGCCAAAACGGTGCTGGTGGCGGAGATCCTCAACATGCTCAGCTAAGTTACCTAACAAGAAAATGTTTTCTTCGCCGATCTCACGAGTGATTTCAATCTAAGGCACACCTGTCAACACAAATGTCTGATACTTGTTAACTAAGACTCACGTTGGCACCATCGCAAGTTCCTGCAGGTTATCAGTTCCCTATGTCAATTATTGTAAGTGCAGGAAATGTGCATACCAATAATCAAACCACCATTCAAGACGAACTTCATGTTACCTACGAAACGTGTCAAAAACATTCAATATACACATTTTTAGCAATCAAACTTACTAGTACCACTGGCTTCGGTGCCGGCAGTGGAGATATGTTCGCTGATATCTGAAGCAGGGACGATGACTTCTGCCTTGCTGACGTTGTAGTCTTCAATGAAGATAACCTTGAGTAGACAGTTTGTCTCCTCGTCCTGGTTAACAACTTCACCCACAGCGGTGATCAAACGAATGATTGTTTTTGCCTACACTATGTTAGCTTTTAGATAGACCAAGGGGGGCTGAGAGAATTCACCATCCAGTACCCAGGAGCTGCTTTACCTCCAAAGATGGAGGTCCTGGGAACCTGTTTTTTGCGCTCTTCCGGTGTCATCTCCTTCAGCCTGAGGTAACGATAAATGACACCAAAAATATTCATTTGTTGGCGTTTATACTGGTTCTGTCAGCAAGGAGCTCTTAGATATCACCAGACGAAATTACCTCATGTATTCTCTTGACTTGAATATCGAAAAGAGAGTGCGGGTTGACTGCAATTTGCGTTGTGTCCTTAATGTACTTTGCAAGCTTGACTTTAGCAGCCAATTTGATCTCCATCCACTATCTCGATATTAGCACGTTAGCATCATTAATATCTATGCGTGGACACTCACCTCCTTCTTGAATGTCTTGTCATCAATATATTTTTCTAACACGCTGAGCTTGGTCAGGTCCTGGAGGAAATCGTAACCTCCCACTTTGCTAGCAATAAGGTCGGAGAGCTTAGGGTTTGCTTGGTGGAGCCACCGGCGGGGAGTAATCCCATTAGTGACATTAGTGAACTTATCCTGGCCGAATATATCAACGAAGTCCTTGAAAATGGTAGCCTTAATGAGATCTGAGTGCAATTCTGCGACACCATTGACTTTATGCGAACCAATGATAGCAAGATAGGCCATACGGAGCACCTGGGGTGTGCCCTCCTCAACCACTGAAACTCTGCGGAGCAGATCACGATCCTGGTGCCCACTTGTCAATATATGAAACCGAAACTAGACTGGTACGATACTAACCTTCGGGAATTTACGCTCGACGGACTGCAAGAAGAAAAGATTGATATCGTAAATGATCTGAAGGTGACGAGGCAGGAGGTTTTGCACAAGCGGAACAGACCACTTCTCAAGAGCTTCTGGGAGAACGGTGTGGTTGGTGTAACCGAATGTGCGAGTGACGAGAGACCAAGCCTCATCCCATGCCAAATTTTCAATATCGATGAATATTCTCTGCAATTCCACAATGGCGAGTGTTGGATGGGTGTCGTTGAGTTGAATTGCTACTTGTTCGGGGAATTCCTTCCAGGGGCGGTGAGATTTCTTGAATCGCCTAACAATATCATGCAAGGATGCCGCCACCCAGAAGTATTGCTGCTTGAGCCTAAGCTCTTTGCCAGCATCGATGTTATCGTTAGGGTAGAGGACAGCAGAGATAGTTTCAGCTCTCTGCTGGTCACGGATAGATCCCTCGTAATCTCCGGAGTTAAACTTTCCAAAGTCGAATTCACCACCAGATGGCTTCGAGGACCAGAGTCGCAGGTTGTTGGTGCAATCAGTACCGTATCCGGGAATAGGAACGTCATAAGCAATAGCCTGAACGATTTCACCTCCTTCCCAGACCTTCTTAATATTTCCGTGGTCGTCCCTATGCAATGAATTAGGAAAAAGAGATATTTTCTTAACTTACAACACCACTTACCTCGGTCCTGGGTTTACGGTTCCATAAAACATGACATCAATAGCAACATCATGTCTCGGGAATTCCCAGGGATTGAAGTCAAGCCAATAGTCCGGAACCTCTGCCTGGAAGCCATTGATAATCTCCTGCTTGAAAATACCATAGCGGTATCTAAGACCGTAACCCCAGGCAGGGTAGTTCAAGGTAGCGAGCGAGTCCAAGAAACAAGCCGCCAATCGCCCAAGACCACCATTTCCAAGTGCGGCATCGTGCTCCTGATCAATTATATCCTCAATCCTAAAACCGAGCCCACTAACACCTTCCCTGGCAGTGTCTTTCAGTCCAGTGTTAAGCATAGCATTGTCAAGAGTTCTTCCCATAAGGAACTCGAGGGAGAGATAGTAAACTCTCTTTTGGTCTTGGAGAGTCTGGTGTTGCTGGGTCTTATTCCATTTTATGACAAGATTATCACGAATAGCCAAAGCAGTACCGGAGTATGCGGCATTATCGTCGCAATTGTAGATCGAACGAGCTAAAGTTGTTTCGACATGGCGAACAACCTCTTTCTGGGGTATCAATGGCAATTAGAACCCGGTTTCCCCATACATCATATAAGGACTCACTAACCTGGAATTGCTCTTTTCCGGTGAACTCAGAGGCAGACTAACAAAGTCAGAATTCATCCGCAAAACCAAGAAGGCGCTGCAAGATAGATAGTAAAAACGTACAAGCTTACGCCAACTAAATTACAGGGATCCAGTTAGCCACTTGACCCCCAATGCAAGACTGACATTGATGAACCCACATCTCTCGCAGAGGCTGAGGAATGCTCGCTTCAACAGCTTTAATCTCACGAACCCCAAAACCGGTATGGGTCCTGCGATGCTTTGGACGGAATGGCCCCTCAATGATGCCTGGTGCTGGGACATTTCCTGGAATGGGAGGGTTTGACAAAGACGACATCGTGAGAAGAAGTGAAGACAGAATCAAAAAATGAAGAAAGGCAGAGCAATATCAAGACGCAAGGGGAAACTGTGGTGGAAGAATGGGAAGATAAAGGGACGATAGGATGGCGATGTGGAGGCGTGAGGTAGTGGTGGGAGGAGAGGTGGAGGAGGAGGGGGTGGTGAGAAAGACTGGGGAACAATCGGTCTACATAGAAATGTTAACACGGCCAAAAGGACCCCTCTCGATCCGCTCTTCTTGCTAGAGGGGGATATTCTGAAATGCAATTGGATTGACACATTCGGATGAGAGGCATCGTAAACTACTACCGGTTCACACCACCTCAGAAAACATTAGATTTCAAACATCCGGCGGGGAAATAGACGTGTTGAAAGTGTGGGAGGAGGGGGGGTGTGGAGAGGAGGAAGGAGGGGCTTTTCGAGAGAACAGAGCTAAAAGCCGAGCGTTTGATGCATTTACATCACAACCAGATCGTTACCGGCTAGCGATAAGAACTGCACACAACCTCTAAATTATACGTGAACACCTTACCATTGTAGGCGGGGTAGCAACGACAACATCAGGAGGGGTTCGCATGCCTTTCCGTACCAGGCTAACTGAGACTGCCCTACTTTTCCTACTCCTGCTTGCACTGTGCCAAAGTCTTCCCAGTAGGTCCGGCACCAACGGACGAAATAAACATCTTGTTCCACCTTGTCTCCCGCTCTCTCCCTCTCTACCGCACATATTCTACTATTTATCATATCATTCAGACGTCTACCCCTTCCTCTCTAAGACAGATATCATAAATGGGAGAGCATCGTATCTATAATTCGCGAGAATGAACCGTATACCGGAAAAATAAGGGAACGAGGAATCGAGCAAAAACGGTTCTTGTTTTTTTTTTTTTCCATTTCATCATTTCTTTTAACCCCCCCGCGCCTTCACATCGAGAAGCCAACCACTATCAATCAAAACCCCTATAGAGGGGAAAAAAAATATGCTGATGCTTTCTTCCTCCCCCTCTCTAGCCCACCACACCTCTCACGCCGGTACAACTGCGGAAGTAAACGGGATTTTTCCGTAAAAACTAATCCCAGCATTGGAAGAATGAAAATCCACCCATCCCTCCTTTGAATATGAAATAATAAAAAATGTGAAGTGAAGTGAAGGAAGGAAAAAAATCAAGGGAAAAAAGGTCGCGGAATTGCCGCACCGGGAAAAGTAAAACCAGCAGAGAAGGGAATGAGATGAACTCTACTCCAATTACATATTTCCGCCCATATCCCCTTATACTTTAAAACGAAGTCAAGACAGATGACAGAGGAGAAATAAATGGGGACAGGGGGGGTTTGAACGCTATGAAGGAAAACTATACACAATTGCGAGTGCCAATAGCTCTCGCCGAAACTCCGATTCTTGACAAACCACGCGAACCAATTCACAAAAATGCTCCCGTGCTTTGTACCCATACCGAAAGAGAGAAAAAGATAAGGAAAAGGAGCAATACCAGAGCCACCATTAAGCAGTAGCCAATTCCCAATAACAATCCCAGTCAAGATGTGACACAATATCTCACCATTTTTCTTTCAGAATGCACAATCCAGTGCATACCGCCCGTACTCGACTTGAAGGGAAAACCAAAAGCGGGAAAATAGTATGAAGACAAAAAAAAAACTGTAACAGTGAAGGGTAACGAAATCGAGCAAAAGGGGAAAAAAATAAAAATCCAATACCTAATAAAGCAAACGTTTTTGTACAAAGGATCGTTAGAATTAATGAGAGAAATATGGATCCACTCATTTTAATCATAATATGCCAGACTCCTTGAGAGCATTCTGTAATATTGTCTCCTTCACCGCCGCAAATACCAATCGGATATTCGACGTGTCTGTTGCTTGTGTGAGACTAATGCATGTGTTAGTATAAAAATCTCCCTAAACGGATCGGAAGATCATACTGTGGATAAAGGTTTAGATGAGCCCTGTTGACTTGGTTAAACCGCCACAATAGGTACTTGGCGGCCCTTGTAACATCATTCCCGCCTGAATAGTCCGGGAAATAATTCGATAGAGGACTTCGAGCGAGCTTCGTTTTAAACAAATCGACCTTGTTGAGGAACAAGATAATACTTGTTCGAACAAACCAGCGACTATTGACGACCGAATCGAAAAGGACAAGACTCTCCATCATACGGTTCTATATCTTGTCAGAAAGCCTTCCTCATAATATTGGACCCAAACCGGACTACCAACTTGATTTGACTCTTCTAATAAAACTTGATCATATTCACTGAGGGCGACGCAGAAGATAATTGAAGTTACCGTCTCGAAACAATGAATCCACTTTTTCCGTTCACTTCTTTGGCCGCCAACATCAAACATGCTAAGAGAAAGTTAGCGCTTCTCCTCCAACCTATCCTCAGGATAGGCCTTACTGAATGCTAAGCTGCCCCATTGAAAATCGAGTCTCATATATACCGGTCGTCTTTGTTCGGGCTCGGAGAACATCTGATTCCGTTGGTATGTAATGAGCTTGGCCGATCCTAGGTGCCTCATCAAAAAAGCTATACCCAGAAATTAGCTATGCAGAAACATATATCCCATTGTCAGGTGACCCACTAAGGTGCGGAATCCATAAGATAGAATTCGTTTTGGTGGGCCATAACTTTGGGAATGCAAGGGTCCTTCCATAATGATACGACGGCCAATGCAAGTTTTGGATCAAGAGGTGTATTTGGATCGGGGTCAACTTGGAAGGCCATTATAAAGTCCGCATATTCCTAGAAACCCCGAAGGTCAAAACCAAATGCAGAAAACCCCAAGCCACACTTCTTACCCTATTGGTAGTAGTATCCGGTTCTATGTCAAACTGCCGCAGGGCCCCCACGAGTGCCTTCGCACAATCCACCAAGTTCTTATAGATTGTTAATCGATACATCGCGAGCTCCTCAACGGAATATCCATTCTGATGGATAATCTTCATCTGTTTCACGATCGTTGACTTTCCACTCTCACCAGAACCTAAGCGCCAATATTAGAGATGGGCAAGTATGACAGGTATCACCATATCTCCTTACCAAGCAATAAAATCTTGCATTCTCTCCTCAGCCTCCTTAAGTCCTCCCCGATCTCCTTGTCAATCCTGGCACTGACACGATCCTCATCGCTCTCACTCGAAAAACAAGCACCCATTGTGAAGATATTATAAGAACAGTATTCGGGTATAAAAGTCGAATAATACAGGTGCAAGACGCACGAACTGATCGAAAGTCGTTAGAGTATTAAGTAAAGTTAGTATTTAAGGCCGTGAAGTTTGTCGTAGCAGGTGTATAAACTGAAAGAAGAAAAGAAAAGAAAAATATGTCAAGGATGACACCACGGTCCAGCCGGAAGAAGGGCGAAACTCAAGTTTGAAGGCTACCCAACAACGACGCCTTGAGAGTTCACTTCCCCACCGGAACAAGGGCCAGATATCCGAACAAATAAATAAATATTCCCCCAGTCAATACAAAGGACGAAATGTGGCCGTGTCGAGGCGGCGTGCAGCTGGCCGGGTTGAACACCAAAAATCCCGAGTTGAGGGAGAACTGTGAGATGTTTTGTTGACGGACGTTGGTAGTACTTCGTTACAGTCGTAGAGGGGTTTTCAAACACCAGGTTGTAGACGATGGCCACCGGGGGTACAAAATAGAAGATGAGGGGGGGTGGTGTATCGAGGTATAGGTCAGTTGGACGCTTTGGTAGCGGGATTTTGGGAGTTTTCGGGGAGAGGAGGATCGACAGTCGACCAAAGCGAAAGTTCACAGAGGTACCGTAGGGATTCGGATTTTGAGCAGAGAAAGCGGACAGGGGTGCGCTGTACCAGTCGTGTCGTCCTATCTCGATATATCCACCCAACTTCGTATGCAGAGGCTAGATGATTTTTTTCAAGACCACCCAAGATCCACGACAACAGAACTCACAAGGAGGATAGGGGAAGAGGAAAGAGAGGTTCGGTCGGTCGTAAGGTTGACCGTCAGCCGCGTGTTTGATGGTGGGTGTCTGTGCGTCCTATGTGTGCTGCGAATAACGACAAGCGAGGTATTTCGGTTTTTGTTGGCGGTCGCAGGGCTGAGCTGCTGAGGTTGCAGCAGCACAGTTTACGAAAGGAAAAATTCGATTGGGTTCGAATTGCGATGTGTTGCTGACAATATGGTACTAGGGCGTGATGGGGGGAGTGAAAGAGAAAAGAAGGGGTACGAGTAGGTTAGGTGGGTCAGTCAAGCAGGAAGGAAGGGAGGAAGCAGCGAGAATGATCGCCCTGTTGAGTTCTCCCTCCGGCTAGTAGAAGTCGGAGCACTGATGGAGGGGGGTGTGTGGTGTGGAGAGGTTACGGTGGTGGGCAATGGTGGTTGTACGAGTACGGCGGGATTCTGTATGGGTAGTTGCGGAGGTGGGAGGACACTGGGCGCGGGCGTAGGCGTGGGCGCGGGTTGTGAGGGTGTGGGTGTATTGTAGAATGTAAATCGAGAGTGGGAGAGTCTACTATGGTCCACAGAAAGAGGCACCCAACGCGAGGCAGAGGCGTGGGGTACCTTAGTAAAACAAAATGGGTACAGTGCGGTAATAGCGGAGTATCGATAATGTTAGTAAGAGAGGATAGAAAGGAAGAGAAAGAAAAGATGCAGGATGCTCTCAGCAAGGAACCCGGTGCTTTGTCGCAGGCTGTGAGAAGCAATGTGCGGTACAGTACTTTATGCTTTTCTAAATTATCGTTTTTCTTTTTTATGGCTACAATACCGTACCTTGCACTATTCCCTATGATCAATGATCAATCAATCGAACACTTTCTTTATCACTCGGCTGCTAACTTGCTGTTCGTTCAATAGCTGAACCAACCAAACCTGTGGAGAAGGTACCACAGGCGAGCAGCAGCAAACCCCCAAGCAATCCGGACCCAGCGAATGGCAGCCAGGTCGGAGTGCCGACTAGTCAAGAAGTACGGGACGGAACGATAGAACTAATATCTCTCATCATCCCGAAAGACACAGAGGACGAGAAGAGCGAAAGAGTAGAAGGAGGGATACGGGGGGGAATGTGTGTGCTGCCGTATACCGTATACTTTTGGATGGGTGTGCGAAGAGGAAAGTACAAGCAAGGAGGGGTGAACAGAGGCAGGATGATGGGGAGGATGTTTGTTGGCAAGCAAGAAGTCGAGGAGAGAGCAGCAAGCAATGACTGAATTATCGGTACGGTAGGACATCCAACCCCATTGTACGAGTGCAGCGCAGCACCGACACCACGCAAATACGAGTACAGTACCGTACCATAAAAACCATTCTGCTGTACTGTACGAGTACGCAACCAAATAGTTGACCAAAGACTGGGCGGCACCTAGGCTTACTGTACTCTACCCTTCAGGTACCGGTACTCTACACAAGCGCACAAACTAGATAGAATACAAGCGCCAGAAAGCCCACGAGTTACACTGTCCTAGCAGGCACAAAGACACGCAGACAATCACAACTCTTACCACACTCTTCAGCCTCACATCCCAGACAACCTCCCTGATCCCTACGAGGGGACAATACAAGTACAGCCCGCATCGCCTCTTATCATGCTTCTCAAACTTACTACGATGGTACTCATTGACAAGCTGTGATTATGGTGAGAAAGCAGCAGGTTTGGGGCGAGTAAGTACGAATTTGGCGCTCATACTTCAATCCAAGTGCATACTTAATAATCTCAACTTACCGACCTGCTGGTGGACGCCGGATAGGTACTGCCAGGATAACATATTTGATTGAACCGACCTGCTCCAGAGCCAGCCGCCGACCGCCCTCTGGCTGCTTCCAGCCCCCTCCCAGGGTTGATGGACAATCGCGAGTGCAGATCTTTCCTCATTCGGCTACCACACGCAACACTCCGACTAAATATAATATATTCAACCGACAACGCCAGCCTACCCAAAGACGTGAAAAGAGAAGAAAATCCTCTTCGCCGCAAACCCTCCCCCGCCCATTTCCTACTTTCCATCGTGTGGGGTTCCTGGTAGCAGTTCCTGCTTCATGGCACAAATTTCCGTTCTTACTTCAGACACCTCCAGAGATCTCTCGTTTCGACTCAGCCTGTGGTCATCATAAGCACGAAAAAAAATATAAAATAATAATAATTTGGGCCCCTCGATTTATTGTGGAAGGGGCGATTCCAAAAAGCCATACCAGTAAGTTGATTCCGACTCTCTGGAAACCTGATCAACCTTTTACTCGAACTTACTCGAGTACGCTCCGAAGGTTGAAACAAGAATTCGATTGGTTGCCGAAACGGCGTTTCTCCCCCCTGGCCTTGCAGGTCGCGGTATGGTGGGGGTCTAAAAATATAACAATTGAGCACCCAAGAAAACCTAGGCTCGACTTGACACCTAAACAGGTCTTCCCCATACGTATTTACCGGTAGAGAATGGCCCAAAGCAATACCGTACCTCGGTTGTCCAACTTTGTCAGGGAAACAAGGCAAGTCGTGTCTTCTCTCCCAATCTCCCCGAGTGAGGTACCCTACTCTTTGTCCTCTGCATATCGGATGTCATCCCGTCAAATGGGCCAATTCATCCACCAAGCTATAAAAAGTTGCGATCGAGTGTAAACCCGATTCTGGTTTTTACGCAAGCCATTTCTCTACAATATCGCAGACAGAAACACCCCCTAGCGTATTGAAGTACTCCTTTGGTCCGGTTATCCTGGCCGGAGTTGTGAACAACCATTTATTCGTTTTCTAACCAACAAGAGCAAGACACTTTTGAGGGCTTCAAGTGCGCCGCGACGTCTTGGAGGGGTGCCGTATTCGTTCCCGGAGACTTGAATGGCGAATTTATAGCGGGATTGCACTGTATTTTTGCGTCGAGCGGCTTTGAAGGGGATTCCGACACCGCAGAAAAAGATACTGTTAATTTGATATTTACCCGAGCAATACAACCCTCAACTCTCAGGGGGGGGACTGACACCGAGGTCCCAGTCAGCCAAGGCGGGTGTTAACCATACAAGTACGGCGCAATGTATTACATATACCACCCGAGTGCGGTATGATAGGAGGGAGCTCAAGGCCAACCTCGGGAAAGTCGAACTCGCCAAAATGAAACTTACTCGAGTAGACGGAGGCTCGCTCGTTCAATTGCGGAGAAATGTCGGTAAACGTGCCCCGTGCTGGCCTACAGTACTAGTACTCGTACTTGTATTAGTCCCTCGGCATTGGCTGGCGCCGCTTTTGGCGCACACCTCGCTCGCTAAACAAACCCTGCCCGCCTGTTACCGTCAGTAACATCCTGGGGTTTCCCTTTCCACAGTACCCCCAGACCCATGCTAGTCCGGATAACGGAGGCACCGCATCTCCCCTGACTTTCCGCATAAGTATTTGATGCGGTACCGGTATGTTTTAAGCCTCACGAAATTATCAGCACATGCAAGGGAGGGAGTCTCAGTTACCATCTAGTCATATAAACTCACTCGTGATTGGAACAAGAGTGAGAAATGGCTTCTTGGGTAAGAAGATAATAATATTATTGTGATATTACCGTCCGAATCAAGAAGGGGACAAACGGGTGTCAGGGGAGAAGATCATTTTCTAGGGCTGAACCTCCGTGGGGGTACGGTACCCTACCGTATTTGTCTCTTCTGCTAAGAAAAAAAGGTATCGTACGGTAGGACAATAATGCCACACTTCTGTGTGATCAATCATGAAAGTTCTGCACTGGCGCCCTCGCTCACTTCAACACCTGGCTGCCTAGAATACTCGTACTAAGAGGCTCTCTAAGCACCCAGAAGTCCAATAGTACGGCACTGGCCGTGCCCGAGTCAAAGCCAAAAAGACGCTCTAACGAAGGCTACTAAACAGTATTGTTTTTTTTTGTTTCTTCTCCTGATGGGAAAAATCCCGACCCATCGGCCGGGGATCGGGCCCCGAGCATATCATAGAGGAGGAAAATTTCCCCCCTTGCCCAAGACAAGATGACCCTGCAACTATTAAAACCCTAGTTTTTTTTTTGTATGATATCCGATACGATGATAATATCGGTAGCCTTGATAAAAGCAATTAAGTAGAAAAGGGTTGGTACTTGTACGAAGTACAAGTACAACCTAAACCCAAAACCCAATACCCGTACTCCAGCAGAAAAATTCCCAATAAAAAGAATGATCTTTGCTCATGCCAAACGCCTCCCTACAAAAAACTTAATACGGTAGTTTTCTCTTGTGAAAAATATGCTATCATAAAAATCGCATTTACGCCATAAAAGTGTCGTGCCGATAAGGGCCTGCGGTATCATACCGTATGATATGAGGTTCTCGTGCTCGTGCTGATATCATGAGAAAGAAAAAAAATCACCACACCTGGCTGATAAGATATCGGTAGAGGGGACAGAAGACGGGAGGGGACAACGCTCAGCCCTACACAAAAAATTTGACGTTTGCCACCAGATTTTGTGGTGCATTATCCGCTGTCCCATCTGTTCGTTGCCCTCTCCCCAAGTTGAGACACGACAACAACCATGCGTGGGTGAGTGAGTAAACTTCGCACACCATAGCCCGACGAATACGACAGCATCACAGACGATCAAAGGGTCCTGCCTCCCTCCCCCTTCCCACGGTTCCCACGCATACACCGCCATGCTACGATAACATATGAGTACCAGCAAGCAAACAGGCAAGCAAGCAAAAGTGCAACACTACCCAAAGCTGATGGCGGTAAGCCCCCCCGCCAATCTCCTTAATCCAACCCGGAGGCCCGGGACCATTACGAGTAGTTTGTTCATCACGCAACACTCTTCCCTTATTCCCTTCCACAGACGGACGGGCGGACAAGGCCGACGTTTAAGTTGGGGCCTATCGTTTCATGTCGTGTCGCGCGCTGTACGAGTACTGCACGGTACTTGTATAGTACACATGGCACACTGCACCATACACATATACTAGCATCCCCTCGATCTACGCTCGAGCCCGTTGTGAATGTTGAAAGTCTGAGGGAGAAGATATGGATGGATAGTCAGAAATTGCCAGCGGGGGTGCCGAGCTTTTTTTCTTGGCGCTCTCTGAGAATGTGCTCACAAATACACCCAACTGCACATCTCATCATAAATCACGTGCATGCTCAGAAATTCTCCCCTATGCATCTACCATCATTGTTATCAGACCTTACATTTTTGTAGGATCAGATATCACTCCTTGGCGCAACTGCTCAGTACATATATGATCATACCAGGTACGAAAATTGCCTTACCGTA